ATTTTAGTGTTATTACACGAGGGGTTAAGTGACCTTTTATTGTTATTACACGAGGGGTTAAGTGAAATTTTAGTGTTATTACACGAGGGGTTAAACGACCTTTTATTGTTATTACACGAGGAGTTAAGTGACCTTTTATTGTTATTACACGAGGGGTTAAGTGAACTTTTATTGTTATTACACGAGGGGTTAAGTGACCTTTTATTGTTATTATACGAGGGGTTAAGTGAACTTTTATTGTTATTACACGAGGGGCTAAGCAACCTTTTATTGTTATTACACGAGGGGTTAAGCGACCTTTTGTTGTTATTACACGAGGGATTAAGCGACCTTTTATTGTTATTACACGAGGGGTTAAGTGACCTTTTATTGTTAGTTACGATCGATGACACAGAATTTGCTTCACATTTTGTTTTGTAAACATGTTTAAAAGCAGTTTTCAGGGGGAGTGTAGTTTGGAGAGTTCAACTTGTGTTTGTTTTACGCCTATTCTTCTTACAAGGACTTCTGAACTTTCTACAAATTTGACTAAATCAGCTTAGCAGTATACTGTATCTTAGAGTAAAAAAAAAGAACATGACATTCAAAATGTTTTGACAAAAGGTATTTGTGCCATTAAAAAAGAAAAAGTAGAAAATAAACCATTTGAGTAATTTCACTTTGTTTACAAGCAGACCATGATTTTGTAGTGTTGTAGGTGTTAGCATTTTGGAATTAAATCTCATTTCATAGCCCTTACATTGTTCCAAATGTTATTGTTGTTTGTTTTGTTTTTCTCACACGCTTCTCTAAAACTACGTAGATGTTTAGAATCATAAACTTTAAACTCTACTGATTAATTACTTTGAACTATAGACTAACGAGATGACCTTTAAGTGATAAAATTCTTTGCACAAGACTTAGCACCTCTACCCGGTAAAACCTTAAGAAGTAGGCGGCGAATTTTAGCTCTTATGCAAAGAAGCTGACAAGCAGGTTAACATTGTCATCCATCTTCTAAGGCTCTGCCAGGCAAGTAAAGTCCATTAAAGTGTCATCACTGCCGAAAATTTTTTTGAGACAAATAGAATTTTCCATCTAATCCTTTTTTTTTTTTCTCACTAGAATGACAAACCTCCAACTCCTGTCTGTAAGTCCCTAACACCAAACAGTTCGGGAAGCGTAAACTCCATCTCGGGCAATATGAAAGGAATTTCGAAACAGCCGTCTATGGGTAAGTCTTCAGGATTTGACATGACGCACATTTGTCTTCTGCCGTTGTAGCTGGAGGAATTTCGAATGTCTTGTTACTTAACTGAATAATAAAAGGTTCATACATAACTTCATTTCTTCGTGGAATCGATACAGTAACTTCAATTGGAAAATATTTCATCCAGGCGGTCAATATTTTTTACTTGTTTCTAATGGAAGCTCATGGTAAAACATGACAAGAGTTCCCAGTATATATCGAACGTTATAAATACAAAAATAATATAATAATGATAAGAAACGTATTGCAATTTTAAAAAAATGATTTTTTTTTATTTTGTAAGGAATAAATAAAATCCAGACTGTGTAAAAGGAATAAAAAAAATCCCATAATCGTGAAGTAACAGTTTATGTTCATTGTTCATATGTTACTTCCATGTACATGATCCATCTCCGTGCTATCAGTTATAAACAATGTGTTAGTAATGTGAATGTGAATATTATACCAAGGTTTTGTTTTAAGATATGCCAATATTTTGTGTGAAGGGCCTACGTATCCATACCCCATGTCTAGTGGGGCTTCTGGGTCTCATGGGACTGTTCCTACTGACCTAAGTTCCAACTCGTCTTACTCCCAAGGTATGCTTCATAACAGCTTGTCCCCGGCTCTCAACTCGTATTCCAGAACAATGGTAAGTTAATCAGAAACAAAGCTAATTAGCTATTTTAGATACGTTTATTGTTAACATTATGTAGACATTCTTCTGTAATGTAACGTTATTTGCCTGTCTCCTAATGCTCCTGAGGGCTTTTATCGTTAACATCCGGGGTTTGTTTTCTAGAACAATGGTAAGTTAATCAGAAACAAAGCTAATTAGCTATTTTAGATACGTTTATTGTTAACATTATGTAGACATTCTTCGGTAATGTAACGTTATTTGTCTGTCTCCTAATGCTCCTGAGGGCTTTTATCGTTAACATCCGGGGTTTGTTTTGTAGTTTGCGCTTCAAATAAACAAACAAAAACGTTACTAGCCAGCGTGAACAGCTAGATGACATAGAGAACATCATAGCACCAACCCCCTTACAGTTTACTTGCAATGCTAGATGACATAGAGAACATCATAGCACCAACCCCTTACAGTTTATTTGCAATGCTAGATGACATAGAGAACATCATAGCACCAACCCCCTTACAGTTTATTTGAAATGCTAGATGACATAGAGAACATCATAACACCATAGCACCAACCCCCTTACAGTTTATTTGAAATGCTAGATGATATAGAGAACATCATAACACCAACCCCTTACAGTTTATTTGCAATGCCAGATGACATAGTGTAGATCATAACACTAACCCCTTACAGATTATTTGCAATGCTAGATGACATAGAGAACATCATAACACCAACCCCTTACAGTTTATTTGCAATGCTAGATGACATAGAGAACATCATAACACCAACCCCTTACAGTTTATTTGCAATGCTAGATGACATAGAGAACATCATAACACCAACCCCTTACAGTTTATTTGCAATGCTAGATGACATAGAGAACATCATAACACCAACCCCTTACAGTTTATTTGCAATGCCAGATGACATAGTGTAGATCATAAAAACTACCATTCCAATTTAGTTGTAGCGCTTGAGCAACTGTGCATGATAAAGCTATCTTGTTACAGAAATAACGCATTTCTTTGTGTATACAACTCCATGCATACATATCTAATGAAATAAAAGACTATCAAGCTACTAATTATATAACATTTTATTTAATGTTTCTATTTTTCGTGGATATTTTGTTGTGTGTCATTTTTACTAGATAGATTTCAATTCCACAAAGAATCTAAAACTGATTTAAGAATCGGAAACATTCTGATTAAGATTTTCAGCAAACTATTAAATGTCTTGACGAAATAACCAAAAATAGTTATATTTAATGTTGACACGTGTGTAAAAGATGATAAAAATCACGATAAACTGGATCCATTCCTTTTACTTAATCCATTACGGAATGTAGAAACAAAATATATACATTTCAGCATGATTCTTATCAGTAATATTAGGTTTATTGGTTCCAGAACTCCTCCAACGTTTGGAATTTAGTGCCATAACGTGTGTAAAAAAAAAGGTAGTTCACGAATTATTCACATCGTTTTTTTTTAAGCCTTGCACATCCACATTCCCTATGATACTTTAACAAACAAGTAAGTAGCCAAAGAAGCACTGCAAATTGTCACTTCTTCACGTCTTTAAGATAGTTATTGAACAGGAGAAAAAAATAAAGAAATGTTTGTTGCTGTACGAAACGGTTCTATACTTGACGCATGTCTGACATCAATTTTGAAGACTGTGTCATAAAAGTGCTCAAAACAAGCCTCGGTCAACGAGGTTAAATCGGGCACTTGTCTAGAAATGTGTAACATTTTTAATCTGATGAACGTATGTATTTATTTATCAGTGAAATCTTACTTAAACTAGAGTACAAACAAATTCAGTTTTTCAAATTCTTTCTTTGTTTGTTTTGAATTTCGCGTAAAGCTACACGAGGGCTATCTGCGCTAGTCGTCCCTAATTTAGCAGTGTAAGACTAGAGGGAAGGCAGCTAGTCATCACCACACACCGCCAACTCTTGGGCTACTCTTTTACCAACGAATAATGGGATTGACCGTCACATTATAACGCCCCCACGGCTGAAAGGGCGAGCATGTTTGGTGGGACAGGGATATTTTTCCAAGATAACTGAAGAGTAGTCACAACACTACGCCGCCAACTCTTGGGCTACTCTTTTACCAACGAATAATGGGATTGACCGTCACAT